ATTGAAGAGAAAGATTCCTGGGTCTGATGCGCCACCAGAAACACCACGAAGTAAAGGCCCACGTGTCTCAATTTCGACAAACTCACCACACAAACCGCTCCTAACAAAAGAAATGATAGCAAAGTGTGTATCTGGGTCGTTCATGTCAGTTTATGCAATAATATATTAATTGCTTTTTTTCTCTTTGGCTACAGAATTACGCCAATAGTAATACCTGGATTGAAATCACTTATACCTGTTCTCGAAGCTCAACACGATAATATTTTTGATGAAATAAACGGTCACATGCATGACCAAAACGATCTAGCATACATACCTACCTTACTATCCAAATGGCTACGATATGTATTATCTGTGAGTATTGCAATGATACTTAAAGTTACGGATTTAAGCTTATATTTTATTATTTTTATAGAGTACTGTAGATGAGTTTTATGAAAGGGTGAATATTCAATTGAGAATGCAAACGTGTATGAAGATCGTTTGTGTACTGTTTAGGAGTACATTAATCGATTTGTATATATTAATTATTATTATTATTACGGTGTGAAATGAAACTGACGCAATGGAACACGAGTCAAACTTTAAATTGGAAGAAAATCAAGTTCTACCAGAAGCCAATCCCCAAGTAATCAAGACAATAAGAAAGAAAAAGAAGAAAAAAGGTGAAATCCAATCTAGAAGTACATATAGATAGGGTAGATGAAGTTAAAGAATTAATATGTGAATTTACAGAATGTAATAAAAAAAATAGTTAGTACCAAATTAAAAACTCAATTTGAATTCATGATACATGATTTGTAGAGATAATTTGCAGGCTATAACTTTATTAAGCAAAAGGAATCTTAATCCCAATTAATAGATGAGCAATATATTATCTTCATAAATTGCATTTAGAGATTTAATATTATAGATAGGTGAGCTAGATTGAAAAGATTTATATATACAATTATTATTATAATGGTTCATTATGATTTAATAAATAAATGATTTTAGCCTAATTGAGGGTTTCAAAAAAAAAAACTAATTATAATAATTAAAACAGTTTTTTTTAATAGTAGAATGGGCATTAGATGCCAATTACTTTATTGATATATATATGATATCACAATTATCAAATATCATTTGTAATATTAGACTACAGCTAAATACTAACCTACTCTACTTTAATTACTCCAGCAATACTTACTAGTTGAAATCAGATTATTTGGCAATATGTCACTTATTAAAGATTAGTGATCTTATTTTTAATTCAGTATTTGTTTTTTTAGTTCTTTAACTTCCATATACAAATTTTTATTTTTTAAATAAATTGGTTGATTAGTAAAGATAAGATTTGTTTAATAATTTAATATTAATTTAATTTTATATCTTCTTTATCAAATTCCAATACTAGATAAGTTAGTAATTGAATAAATAGTTTTTTTTCAATTAATTGCCATGTTAAAATAAGAGTTAATAAAGATTTTATATCAAGTAATACTAAATAAAACCTTACTTTCCAAACTTCTAATGAAATCTGAAAAGATTTTGAAAATTGCTATGATTGTAAAGGTCACTATAATCATAAAGTTGCTATGATTGTGAAGATTATAATAATTGTGATAGTTGTTATAATTGTAAAGGTTATAAAGATTGTAAAGATTGTGAAGGTTATAAAGATTGCAAAGGTTATAAAAATTATAAAGATTAAGAAAACTGCAAAAATAATGAAAGCTATTTTTTTACTGAAGATTTTTTTGTTTATTAAATATTTTTAATTTTAGATTTCGATAAATAAAATAATATTTATATAAAATTATTATTATTTTTTTTTTTACATCTAATCAGACCATATATTGAAATTTGATTTATGTTCGAATTAGTTTAAAAACTAGGGTTCGAACTATACATGTGGTATAAATTATTTTGCTGTTGACTCAATTGCCAAAATCCTTAAAAATAATTGCATCTGATTTTATTATTTTATATGTTTTAATAGTGACTCAATTAATTGCGTCAAATAATTGCATCAAATTGCATCAAGGATCTATCTATTTCTACCACATGTATAGTTCAAACTAACTCCAGATACAAATGGATAGACAAAACCAATGTCTGACAGATCTATACTATAGGATAAACTTTTAAACTTTATATAACATACCTATCAACAGCCAATGGTCTCTATATGTGATTAAGAGGAATGAAAAAAGTTGTTCTATATTGATCCATGTTCCTTGTGGATCTCAATATTATCGCCATTCCTTCATTAAGACTGTTCACCTCAACTTAACCTCTGTGATCCTAAGGTATAAAAAATTTTTATTTTTTTGAGAAGGTAAAAAAAAAGGATAAAGGGAAAGAAGAAAAGTTTGTGCTAGTAAAATAAAAACCCATCAACATCAATTATCAGCCTAATGAGAGTCTTTTTTGATCTTGAGGAGAAAAGAAACCAGCACAAGAGGGGAGGGGGAAGACTTTTAAACACTTCTTATCAAGAGGACACCTCGATATCTTGCTCTTTTACTTTATCCAATTATATTATCGATTATAATATGATATGATATAGGGTATGTATGGCTACATATCTTGTTTATATTTCTTTTACATGTCGATTAACCAATCCAAGATTTCAGCCAATCACCAACCAGAGAATTTGATGTAACAAAAAATTCAGGGTCAAACTGAAATAGGCAAAATTCTTTAGAAAAAATCAAGAAAAATTTTTATATGCTCGAAAGTACTACCATAGATATGTATGACTGGTAAAGAAAGATCATACACCTGAACAAGTAGATTCCTACTAGCTTATTTACCCACCTGGACCACAGGAGTTTTGAATCTTATGGTGGATCCAAGGTTCTTATGGAGCTTGGGAATTGCATTCACTTGGTAGGTACCACTAGTTTATCTATCCACCTTAAGCAGAAGGTGTTTGCTTACAGTGGACCTAAGGTTCTTATGAAGCTTAGGAAATGCATTCACTAGTGATTCACTTTCTAGAGTCCAGACCTAAGAAAAGAGTTGTGGAGATATTTTTGAATAGGTTTCTTCTTCCTAATAATATGTTTTGCCGTAGACCAAATGGGTAAAGTTTTATTTATTTTGTCACTGAAATATCCAAAGTTTTTCAAAGAAGAAAAAATAAACAAGTGGGAGAAGCATCAGCTTTCAGGAAGTAAGGTTTTAAGGAAAGTGTATAGACTTTATTATCAAAAATAAAGAAATATTTTTGAAAACATTTGTTTTTTGGATTGGCAAGGGGATCAACGGAAAGAATTATATTTATATAAAATTATTCATATTATAAAATTATATTTTTGATATATTATATGATTTGTTAATAATTTATTTTTTTTTTTTTTTTATTTTTTTTTTTTTAAGGTAAATGGGTACTTAATGTCATAGTTTTTAATAATTTATTTTTCATATTATATAATATACTATATTATATTATATATTATATTTTTATTGTATTATGGTTTGACAATATAAAATTTAAACAACTTTTTTTGTTTTAATTATTTTAAATATTAAAAATGGATTCAATTTTAGTTTTACTTAATGAAAGTTTAAGAAAAAAATTTAAAACAAAAATTTTTTACACTTGTAATAAATATAATGAATTATTTGTTAATATTCAAACTGAATTTTCTTATAGATATTGAAAATCCAAAAAAAAAGTTATAACAAAATAAAAATTTATATTTTGATTCAAAACAAGAAACATTTGATAAAATCAAATTATAATATGTTTTTAGGTGATAATTAGAAAAACTTAATATAAGTTTATAATAGTTTTGATAACAATATTTTTTAATATCAATATTTTTAATATCAATATTTTTAATGATGATATTACTGAAAATGATAATACAACTTTTGATAAATTAAATAATTTATTTGAAAATTATATGACATTAAGTTTTTCAGATTCTAAATCACCAAAATCAAATAAATTTATTAATACTAATAGCCAATTACATGAATTTTATTATAAATTATAAACTTTAAAATAAAATTTAATTTATTAGATAATACAATAGAAATATTTTTAAAGTTTATAAAATTAAACCAGTGGATCAATAGTATAGTAAATAGTACTCCCTTTGTTTTCAAATATATGTTTCTAATTCAATATCTATAAGGAGCAAAACATATAAAAAATTATCTTTTATTTGTAGGTTTATTGGTTTTTCTACAAATGTTATATTCCAAACATCCAGATCTTAATCAAATTTAGTTAGACTGTATTAGGGCTCCAAAAAGTACTGAACTGGTACCAAAGTAGTATCGAAATAATACCAATCTATAGTAAATTTAAATATTGAACTGGTATCAAATAGGTATCAAAGTGATATCATTAGGAGCCCTAGGCTATATGAAGATGGAACCTCTGATTTTTTTGATGATTGCAGGTTGAAAACAGATTGAAGCAGAAAAGGTTATATAAGGAAAGACTTCTAGTCTAACTCCAATAAAAGCTCATAACTTCTTTGATACAGTAGACTCCATAGTATAAAAAATACTCTAGCCTAAGACTATTCCAATTCAACACTTGCTTAAAAGAAGAGAATCTAATAAAAAAGAAAATCTGAAGCTACAGATGATAACAAAGAGTATAGTATCTTTTTTGAGAAACTAGGTAAAAAGTATTGAATAAGTTATCTGAATGTTCTAATCAATCCTGAAAGGTATATGCTTCAAATAACAATCACTAGAATCTAGATTAAGTTAAATAGTTTAAAACTAGTGATAGAATTTCTATCTTCTAAAGATTCCATCTAGTATATGATTCTACTTATGGATAGTAAGTTGATATAACTAAATAAGGCTATAGGTAGGAAAGTGAGTTAACTTAAATAGATCTTGTAGTTATATAATTGAATATAATTACAGATTATATATTACTAGTACTCTTTACTTAAAAAAAAAAAAAGTTTATAAAATTAATATGAATTAAAATTAGCAATAATGAATTTGAATTCTTTTGTAAATCTTTATATACTAAAAAATTTTTTTTGGATTTTCAAATCAATTTGTTAGCATTATAGCATATAAAAAATGTCACAAGTTATATAAACAGGATGAAGTGATTAAAGATGGATCCCAAAATTCATATATTATGTCCTATAATTAAAATTTTTATAACCGAAATTGAATTACATCCTTCTAAGAATTTAGGTTATAGGATATAATTAATTTAATAATTAAATATAAAATTTTATAACCGAAATTAAATTGATAATTGAAATTGAGAATATAATTGATGGATATAATTGATGAACATAATTGAGAACATAATTGATAGACATAATTGAGGACATAATTGATAGGCATAATTGAGAACATAATTGATGGACATAATTGAGAACATAATTGATGAACATAATTAAGGATATAATTATTATAACCGAAATTCAAAATTTAATAATCTAAATTAAAAATTTTATAACTGAAATTGAGGACATAATTGATGGACATAATTGAGGACATAATTAGTTTTATAACCGAAA